CTTCAGTGGTTCCAACCCACTTTTATCTTTTTAAATATTAACTTTGATCAATTTTCATGAAATTTATTTGTATTTCTCAAGTTGGCAATTGTTTTGACAACTTCATTGTCAACTGTCAATTGTCACTCAGTTCTTTTTTTGGCACTGTTAAGTCAAGATGGTTACTTTTTCGTCTTTTTTGTATTCTACGTTTTACGATTACCTGTGCCCCAACTTGCCTCCGCCTCACGGTAGCTATTTTGAAAGGGCAGCTGGCTTCAAGCTGAAGTTCAGTTTTTTCCATCTCTCTTCCTTGGAAAGGTTGAGACAGTTTATTTACACGTGTTGGGATGAGCCCCCACGTTTCTTCTCAATTTTCAACCACCTGTTAGGTTTGGTTTTGCTTCGTTTCAAGCCTCAAGTTATGGTTGAGAACCACGGACCGTATTGTGGCAGCCCTTTGAATCTAATAAATAAAATTTTAAATAATTAATTTTCATGTACCTTCTATATTTACTGACAAGTAAGTTTTAATGTTTCTTTATTTTTTATTCAATGTTTAGGAATATCTCGATTTGACTATTGTTATAGCTCCGTTTTTTTATCTTTGTAGAGTCTCTGATGATGGCCTAACCGGCTGAAAGCGCTAAGACTACTTTTACTGAGTTTTATTAATATTAATAAAACTACCTACACACTTTAAATACGTCACATTCATTTCTTATTATATTATCTGTCTTGCTGTACCTTTATTTATGGAGAGCCAGAATTAAGATACACTACAAATTATTTGCAATAAATATCGAAAGAAGTATAAATTTTTAAATAATTTGAAATTCAAGAGCCATTCACACATCACAGTTGAGATCGTAATACTTGACAGGCACAGCCTAGTATTATTCTTATTTTTTCCAAATAAAATGGCCGGTTAATTATTCTATGGGGTTGCGACAGAGAGCCTGTGAATTTGATGAAGGTGTTTATGTGGCTAGGAGCAAAATAGTAGTACGCTTAAGTTAGTACCATTATAAAAAAGTAATTTTTTAGAAACTGCTTGTGTATTTTTCTTAAATTGGCAGGCTTGGCGACTAATTTCGAATAAAAATAGCCTTCAAAATGGCTATAGTTGCAAGCATAAAGGTCGTAACCCTCGTACTCTAGTTGATGTTTTGTTCTTATTGGTGCACTTAGTTCCATTATATTACTCAATTCAGCTTTAAATCTTACCCAGAGCGTCTTTTTATTACACAGTGTAGGTCTAATTTCTTTTTGGATTATATTTTCACTTAGTATCATTATCACCGGGGACTGATGAGTCTAAGACAACGCTTTTTTCTATTCTAATACAGTTTCTGGATATTTGTCTAGTGATGTAGAAGTCCAATAAGTTAGGTACTTTATTTCTATAGGTTGACCATTAGATTAGTTTTCCTGTTGACTGGTAGTCATACTTCATAAGTCATACCCAATTATTTCACTTGCAGCTGCATGCAATTTCCTATCGTTGGTTGTTCTTAATCTTAAGCCCCGGTTGATATTTTTGGCATTTAAATCACCTAATAAAATTTTCTCCATTTGACGTAAGAGTTCTTTGTAATTTTCTTTTTTAAAATTATGTCATGGTGAGATATATTTAAATCAACTGTATTTATTAAATGATGAAAGACAAAAATAAGTTATTTTTTTACATAGTCGCCCCCTTTAGAAATATATTTTTCCCAGCGCACGGGAAGGGTTTTCATCCCAGTATCGTAAAATGAAACTGGTTGGGTCAGCAGCCAATTACGCACGAACTCCTCCGCACCTGGGGCGATAAGTCCGGGCTATAGGGAGGATGTTCCAGTTGAGTCCAGTGTATTTCTTCCAGTTTTGAGGCTGTTAGAGCTGCAGTATGTGGTCTGGCATTGTCATGGAGAAGGACGACCTCTCGAATCCGTTGTTTTCGTCTTTTGCTGCGATATGCATCTCTCACCTTAGTCAATAGCTCCCATAACTTATTCCTACCTGTTCTGCAAATTCGGATACCGCAACTCGTCGATCGTCTTCGCGAATGTTTTCAGCAGTAATACTGGTCCGAGGACGGCGATCATGTTCCTTATTTTCCACTCGTTCTTGCCCTTCTTTGAACTCCTTATGCCAAGCGAACACGCGAGTCCTTGACAGTGTTTGATCTCCGAACTCTGCACTTAATCGCCGAAAAATATCCGTCACCTGAACTCCTTCACGAGCGAGAAGTTTTATAATATTGCGTTGCGCAGTGGAAGGGTGTACTTTTTGCTCAGACATCGCGACAGCTAATGACAAAGAGGTTTGAGATCTGAAATGACTGGCTCTTCCTACTCCCAGTGACCTCACCCAAGCATACAAGAAGCGCGCGCTCACTCTTGCCCACCGTAAATGCTCAGGAAAAAAAATCCTGTTTAATCGCTCCGTGCGCGACCGCAGCGCCAATTCGTTTTGGTATTAATGGACTATTTCTGTGTATACTGACAAATACAATTTTTAATAGAATTCGTAATTAAAAAGTATATATGTTAGTTTTAATAAAAGTATATGGATTTGTAAAACAAGTAAAACATTAATTTATTATTATTATTATTATTATATATTTTTAACGCTTAAATTAAAAAAAAATATGTATAATCAATGAAAATCAATAATAAAATATAGGAAGGCAACAGTATTTACTGGAAAATGTATGAAAAGTTGCCTAAGTCTAATAAGTTTTCATTGAAGAATTAGCCTGTTGTCAAAATAAAAAAATACCATTTAATAATAGCATGAAGTTAAAATGTATAAAAAAAGGATCGCTGTTTATATTTTCATATTTGTTCGAAAGAAAACATAGAATGAATGATTAAAACTGGTTTCTCATCAGTAAGTCACAAAATTACATTCCATCCACATATAATAATCAAAGGCAGAAATATTGAAATCTAATCCTTGCTGAATAAACATTTAAGAATAAAAGGACATTAAAGAACATCGTAAAATTATAATTTATTGTTTATTTAAAACCTTTCAAGTTTCTGATTTCTACTATTTACAGCATTACTGTTATTATTACAAAAATAAAGGTAATTTTTCTTCTGATTGTACATCTATCCATTTATTTCTTTGATTTAATTTCCACTTTGCTACTGACATTTTTTATATAAGTTTCACTGTTTTTTTTTTGATAGTATTTGTACAATTGTCAACACAGCAACTCCGGTTGCTTATTGTATTGTGTGTACCTACTTTTTTGAAAAAAGTAAAATGTATACGTGTATTTGATATGCCAAAATTACAAAATATCGCCCTAAAATGCACGAATTATCCGCAGCTAGCGCTAGTATCGCTTTTGCTTCCCTTTCCATGACTTCGCACGGAGCGAATATTTGATTCATCCTCGTATGATGCTCCGACTGTAAAACTGTATTTATTTGTTTTTATGTTAACTGTTGTTACCTGTATTTCTTTTGTTTCTATTTTCATTTCATCATAATGGTTAATATTTTCTTTTATTATTATGGCGTTTCCACTTCTAGCGTGATCCTACGGATGTATAGTACTATAGAATAGACTTTTCGTCCTTTAAATTGTATATAGCTCTATTTTGTTAAATGTGTTTCTGATATTAGACATATTTTGTTCATTTAGGAACACCTGTAATTTTGAGCTTCTCACTGGCTCAATTTTATTATTAGATTTGGTAATGTCTTAATTTCTTAATTATTTTTGTCGTTGCTGTTTTTAAATGTCAACATGAATAGCGGCAATGATTTTTTATAGCAGTTCTTATGATTTGATTTCCTCTTTCTTCTTCTTTAATTTCTCTTCGTTGGATATTAACCACATACAAGATTTTATATTCACTATGCTTTTAATTTTTCAGCTATATCTTCTAGCTTGTAGGTACGGTGTAGGTTTCTAGCCATCACTTTTTATTGGTCTGGTTTGTTTCATCTCATATGAATGCCATTGATAGCCTTGGCTTGAGAGATCTGTTGTCATTGTTCTATATTCTTTTTCATCATTTACGTTTAATTTGATTTAATCGTTATTCAATATGGTAGCTACAAAATTGTGTTGATTACTTATTCGTTTTTGTCCTCAAAGTTTTTGATCTGAGTTACTATTATTGGTGGTGGTAATTTTTGATTTGGTGGTAATTTTTGATTTGGTGGTTCTTTTTGTGTAATACTTTATGGAGCGTTTTCATTTGGGTTTTTAAGTTTGCTTCTTTTTGTACGTTGTGTTGTTCTTTGGTTGTGTTTTGAGGTGACACTTCACCTATTCTCACATTTTTCGTTTTTTGTTATTTATTTTGCTTCTTTGTACTATCCAAGCTGTTTCTTTATTAACTATTTCTTCTTCTGAGTCTGTTTTAAGTCTGTTTTTACATCGTTTCAATTTGTTGTATTCTTAATTGCATTATCTATAACTGCTTAGTCTTTCTTTGAGAGTATATCTCTATGTTTTTTCTCAACTTTTACCTCGTCATCGCTAAACCTTGTTTCCATATTAGTTTGGTTTTTCTGTATCATGGACTGAATTTGCTCTAAAAGCGATTGAGAAGATTGGGTTTTTTTTTCGATTTTTTCTGCACATTTTAAAACTATTTTTATTGGTACACGTTTATATTTGTTTTCAAACATTACCTTTAGTAATCATTTTTTTTTTTGAACAATTTAGCACATATGTAATACATACGCGATTGATCTCGACTTAGATTCTTTTAAAATATTCAACCGCACTTTGCGATAGTCGAACGAATACTTCTGTTAATATTATTGTTTTTAAGGTTTTCCACATTTATTTTAAATTGTTTTTTATATAAAAAGGATCTCGTAAAATTAATGTTTATACTAGCATAATAAAACCCTTACAGTGTGCAAAAACACTACTTTTTGCACACTATATTTTTTCTACGATCACAACGAATACACTAGAAATCGCATTTTTTTTAAGAAGTAAACTTGATGCCGAAACAATTTTGTTATCTTATTGTCATATTTACGTTATTTTTGTATTTTCAGATGAATTTCGATAGTGCAGCCGAAGCTTGCAAGGCTGTTGGTCTACAATTGGCAGCTATAGAAAACGAAGGCGAATATTACGCTATACTAAATAAGTTAACAGGAATATGTAAGTACCTATTTACCGGTTATAGATGCTGTTTTCGTAAGTTCAAACAAGAAGTTACTACTAAAAATATTAGGACAAGTTTTGCATTCGCCCATACAAATCTGCCGTATATGCGTGGTTTACTTTACGTAGCTTTAGGGAAAAATATACTTTCTTGCTTTAATTTTATTATTGAAAACCGTTCATGAAGTGTACTTTTTTAATGCACTCGAAAAATTATGTTGACTTTTGGAATCTAAACCACGAGATATCATTGACTTGACTAACAATTTTCTTTAAAACTAAATATATTTACATGTTGGCTTTCTGTTACAACCTCTACAACTAACATAGGAAAATAATGAAACACATCATACTTTAAAATATTGTTTCGTTTCTCTGGTAGCTAAGTTTAAATTGTTTTATGAAAACATAAATATTGTATCTTGTATATCATCACACGACATAGTGGAAAGTTACAAAGTTAAAATATATTTCGAACCGTTCACTTCTTCTTAGATAGCACAAGTCAATCCATATAATGTCCATCGGAAGTTCATTAAGGGACATATCGACTGTCCAAAGGACGTCCAGTATTTTACCGAAAGACATCCAATGGACATTAGGCTATACAATCAGTGTTGCCAGAATATATTTTTGTAATGTACCAGATTTATCTAAAAAATGTACCAGATTTCATAAAAATGTTCTAGATTCTATAAAATTACCAGATTTTTCTAATTATGAAGTATGGTCATTAAAGAGCAAAAAAAGGTTAATAGAGAACACGAACACAACAATTTTAAACAATATTTTATCTCTCCATAAATTTCTGACACTATTTTATCTCTCGAGCAGTTTTTGAATAAAATTTTAATACCCTTTGATACTCTTTTATCTCTTAAACAGTTTTAAATCTTTTTTTATCTTTTGAGCTATTTTGAAACAATATTTTATATCTCGATAAATTTCTAACAGTATTCTATCTCTCGAGCAATTTTTAACAACTTTTTTTTATCCCTCGAGCAATGTTTGTACAATATTTTTTGTTCAATTTTTAACAGCTTTTTTACCTTTCAAGCTACTTTTGAACAATATTTGATCTCTCGTGTAATTTTTGAGCAAAATTTTAACAATTTCTAACACTATTTTATCTCTCTAGCAATTTTTGAAAAAGATTTTAATACCTTTTGATATTATTTTATCTCTTGAACAGTTTTTAAATCTTTTTTTATCTCTTGAGCTATTTTTAAACAATATTTTATTTCTCAATAAATTTCTAACAGTATTCTATCTCTCGAGCAATTTATCCCTCGAGCAATGTTTGTACAATTTTTAACACTATTTAATCACTTGAGCAATTTTTAAAAGCCTTTTTTACCTTTCAAGCTATTTTTGAACAATATTTGATGTCTCGTGCAATTTTTGATCAACATTTTAACAATTTCTAACACTATTTTATCTCTCGAGCAATTTTTATTAACATTTTCTATCTTTTTAACAATTTTTAACAATGTTTAACAGTATTTTTTAATTTTCGAGTAATTTTTGAATAAAATTTTAATAACTTATAATACTATTTTATCTCTCGAACTATTTTATTTCTCGAACAGTTTTTAAACCTTTTTTTTATCTCTTGAGCTATATTTAAATAATATTTTATGTTTCGATAAATTTATAACATTATTCTATCTCTCGAGCAATTTTTAACAACGTTTTTATCTCTTTATCAAACTGCACAATATTTTAACTCTCGACAAATTTATAAAAATATTTTAACTCTCGATAAATTTTTAATATTGTTTTATATCTCGAGCAATGTTTGTACAATATTTTATCTCTCGAGCATTTTCTAATAGTATTTTATCGTTCGAGGAATTTTTAAACAATGTTTTATCTCTCGAGAAATTTATAATGTAGGTATCTCTTGAGTCAATTTTGAATAATATTTTATTTCTCAACAAATTTTTCAATAGTATTTTATCCCTCGAGTAATTTTTGAACAAGGGTTTAACATTTTGTAATACTATTTTACCTCGAGCAATTTTTGAACACGATTTTAACAATTTATAATAATCTCTCAAAAAATTATTAAATATTTTCATCTCTCATTAAATTTCTAATAGTATTTTTATCCCTTGAGAATTTTTTTAGCAATATTTTACCTTTCAAGCAATTTCTAATACTATTTTATACTTTGGCCAATTTTTTACCTCTCAAGCCATTTTTGAACAATATTCGATCTCTTGTGCAATTTTTAAACAATGTTTTATCTCTCGAATAATGTCTACTATTTTTTCTCTGAAGTAATTTTTAACAACTATTTTGATTTATCTTGCAATTTTTGACCAATATATTTTACACTTCAAATGGAAACATACCTACGCTGAAAAAGTACTAGATTTTGTTTCGAGTGTACTAGAGTACCAGATTCTTAGAGAATGTACTAGATCTAGTACAATTGTACTAGACTGGCAACACTGTATACAATTGTCCCACTCCTAGACGTCCATTTGGACTCCATGAAAATTCCATATACGGTCTCTTTTTGTATTCCTTTTGAACAATTTATATACATCTGATGGACATCACCACCTATATTAATAAGAAATAAAATAATTGCCACTATGGGCAATTTTTATTGTCTCAAATAATATCAAGCATGTATTGGTTTTGTACACACTCCTTTCTGTTGACTTTCGCAACCATTTTGTTAAGGCTATTTGGTCACTTTTTAAGCAACATCATTGTCGTTCTCAGCAGCAGCTAAAAGAATACTTTACATTTTATACGAATATTGAGTCTTAAATCAATTTTTTAATAAATGCCTGATAAGGTAAAACTGATAGCCAAAAATGTAAAATTTTTAAATAAAATTTTATTAATAGGAAAATATGCATTGACCAATATACTTTACCCCTATACTTACATATAAACAAAAAACTGCTCATTGTTTATTTAAATTACCATTTTACTTTTATACCATCATATTGGGTACGTTCACCAGACGTCAGCAGTGAGCATTAACATCCGACAGCAGATGAAAATTGGCTGAACGCTCCGTTGACCGTTGAGTTTGTCTATCACAGAACTGTCAGATTAGACTGTTGAACATAACCTTGTTTGCAATTATTGGCTGATGCTGATCTACGTCAGAAATCACCAAACTGTAGGTTGACAAATTTTCTGTATTAGTTTCCATAATATGTACGTTTTAAAAATCAAGACAGGACGCGCAACAATGAACTGTCATCTCACTGCGCATGTCTAAGCATATGTTGAGTCGGCTCAGCGCAAATTCATCGCGCTGGGTATAATTTGCAGCAGATGACATTCAGTGTAAAGTCATCGTGCCTGCCGAACGCGATCGCTTACTCAACTACTCAACTGTTGCCGTCTGGTGATCGCTCCCATTATATGAAATCTTTCGTGAGGGTTTTAGAAACTATTGCAACAAAACATCTTTCTATAAGTTCGTACATGTCCTTGGTAACTGCTGAATCTAAAATTGTAATAAAAATATGTATTTGTGAACATTAAACAGAAATAAGTTATGAAACCGTTTACTTTTGGATACTTTAGAAGAAGCAGGTATAAGGGACACATCACTAAAATTATTTGAAAGTTACCTTACAAACCGACAACAAGTTACAAGAGTAAATGGTGTCTACAGTGATCTAGAATCCATAACTTACGGTATCCCACAAGGTACGGTACTCGGTCCTATTCTATTTAATCTTTACATTAACGGATTATTTTCTATCGAGAGTTCAGGGGAAGTTTTGGGATTCGCAGACGACACCCCAATATTTTATAAAGCTAATTCATGGCTAGAACTAAAGCAAAAAGTTGAACAGGACCTCCCAAATCTGAAAAACTGGTTTGACAGTAAATTACTGACATTAAATGTAGATAAAACCCACTACTGACCATTCAGTAATAATATTATAACAAGACCTCCATTTGACAAAATAACTTTTACTGCTTCTGGGCAAACACTTACCATTCTCCCTGAAAACAAGATAAAATATCTAGGGGTTTACATGGATTCATATCTCAAATGGAAAGAAAACATAACTTTTACATGCCAAAAATTAAGAATGATAATATATAAATTTAAAAATATAAGCGATTATCTACAACCACATCAACTTAAAATATTGTACCATAGCTTAGTAGAAAGTCATTTGAGATATGCCATCATTGTGTGGGGTTGTACTTTATAAACACATTTACAACCACTAGAAGTTCTGCAAAAAAGATTTTTAAAAATAATGCTCAAAAGGCCCTACAGGTATCCTTCTAACTCATTGTTTGTTGAGGCAAATGTTATGAATCTAAAACAATTTTTTTATTATAATATTAATATTAAATTTCATACAAATAAACAACTATTCAACTTACCAGATCATCCATATAGTACAAGGAAAAAACATCTTCATACTGTGCCTCGTACTCAAAAATCAATAGGACAACGATCGTATTTGTATCTAGGTCCAAAATTATATAATCCTCTTCCAGTCGACATAAAATGTAATACCTTGTCCATATTTAAAAATAATTTTAAAAAATTTATCAAAAATGAGAAAATGGAGGTAATAAATAATATTCTTTTAATTAACTGATATTTATTTGTGTTTTGTATGGTCAAAGTTTCGATATCTTTTTAATTAAGTGTAGGTATTTTGATTGTGTTATATTTTTTTCTGTAATGCATTAATTTTATTTTATATGTATAAATTTGTTTATATTTATATATTTATATTTGTTCTCAAAACAAGTGCCTTATTGGCACTTATTGAGTATCAATATTTATTTATTTGAAATTGTTGTTCTATTACCTTGTAACTTGTGTTATTCTTCTTGAATAAATATTATTATTATTACCACTTTCAATGCATTATTTCTTAAACCTTACAAAACGATTCTATTTTATTTAAAAAAAGTAAAACAGCTTCTTTAAAAATATTTGTATCTTCTTTATAGCCTTTTACTTCTGCTAACGTCTCATTTAGTACAAATAGAAACTTGAATTTTTTTCTTCTCCTTTGAAGGCTTTCTTACCTCTATTAGTTACAATAGAAATATTTCTTTTTATTGAGAAAATTTTTAAACTAGGGTTTCCAAAATCACTTAAAAAATCATATCTTCCGAAGGGATTGATAGAATATAAAGACACTTACACCGATGATGCGAACCTACGAGGCGCTTCCAAAAAAAAAGTCGGCGCCATAATCTGTTTGGCGGTTTCCATGGTAACCGCGAAAAACCTAGAAAAATAGTGTATTTTTGGTCTTTGGGTCCCTTTTTGGCGATTTGAAAGCATATTTGAAGGGTAAATGTATTAATGGTAGAGGTCCTAGACAGCACCTAGGGGGTCTCCCTGTCAACTGTCAAGGTTTTTATAACGTTTTATAAATTTCTTTATCCTTTTTCGACAGTTTATTACGAATGAATAATTTTTTCTAAACACTATCCCTCCCTCCTTACTGCACCACGCACAGGGATTTTTCGTCGGGCGCCATTTTTTTTCCAATCAATTTCGTATTAGGGGTTTCCAGGCGATTTTAGAAAATCGTACCGTCCGAACGCATAAACCGATTTCGATGAAACTTGGCCAGCAGGTGTCAATCTACGATAAACTTTATAAAAAAAATGGACGTCAAAATCCGCTAATCGGTTTTCATGGAAACCGCAAAAAAACCGCGAAAAACCTTGAAAAATCGTAGTTTTCGGTCTTTGGGTCCCTTTTTAGCGATTTGGGTGAACATTTAAAAAGTGAATGTATTATTGGTAGATGCTTAAGAGATTTTAGACGGCACCTAGAGGGTCTTGATGTCATGTGTCAACTGTCACGTTTTTTCGGATGTTATAAAAATTTATTTCTCCTTTTTCGACGGTTCTATAAAAACAAATAATTTTTTTATAATTTTTTTTGAACACGGATTTATTGTCGGGCGTCATTTCTTTTTCGAACAAATTTTGTATGAGAGATTTCCGGACAAAACATCCCGTCACAATATATAATCACTTTTTATATGTTTTCATCCTGTCCGCGACCTCTACTAATTCTATCGAAATATTTCCCTTTACCTCTTCTTTTTTTTTAGAGGAAGTAACAGGTGTTACGACTTTTACTTCCTCTAAATGATCAAGTTTGGTCATCTTTTCGAAGCATCGACGACGCCGAAACGCCACTCACCTCTATTAGTTACAGTAATAATTGTGTTGACATCATCTCGAATTTGCAGCTTATTAGTTAGCTTTTAATAAAGCCATTTTCTTAAATACTTTGACAACAGGTCTAAAAGAAAGGGTTTCTTTAAAATGTAAATCGAAAATATAAAGTTTAAAACATAATTGTTAGATTATATTAGTTTAAAACAAACGATTTGCTTCTTAATTTTTGGATTTTTAAATGTTATGTTAATTATACTTATTTTCTTACCAGATAACAAACTCTATCCATATATGTGGAACGTTCTTGTTCTTAACCTCTTTCTTCTTCTTTTCTTCTTCTTCGAGTCTGGCCTTAATAGCTTTTTACTTTTGTATCCTGTCGACAGTAGCGAAGAGAAGAAAATGTATTGATTTAGTTTAATTAGGACCTAAAGTCTATTGCAATCCGAGATTCAGCGCATGTTAACAATGATCAGCGCGTGATCGCCTCGTGGCTTGCTGGAATCTGCAATGCTATTGGTCAAACGGCCATAAACTGCTAGAGCTGCTCTTTACTGTTTTGATGCAGATGCGTAATCAGATTCAGTGCGAAGTGCATCGTCGTTAAATGTGTTGTTTGAATAGCGTTTCTCAAACAAAAAAATAAAGGTAATAAACCAAAAAAATCCAAAATTTTTGAACGAGAAGATCTAATTAATTTTCTGTTGAAAGCTCCAGATTCCAAGTTTTTAATGATCAAAGTAAGTAAATGCCTCAGTAAATGCTTGAATGCTCAGTATAAAATTTAAATATTCTGTAAAGTTTTGCAACGAGATGTGTGTTCGTATGGTGTGTTGCCTAACAAAATCAGTTGCTGTCCTAACAGGCCACCGGGATAAATACTTTTGGTAAAATGCCAAGTGTTATAACAACGTATCTAAACTTGCCCAATCCAACGGCTTTTACAGGACACTGCTTTAGGATGTCTTCAGCCACTATGCTGGCAAATTCTGGAGGAGAGCTTTTAACGGTGGAGGATGGAAATCATCTTCTGTTGCAGAAGGCTACGTAGACAGCACAATAACACAAAAAACAAAATTTCTAATAAAATTTTGATGGATGACAGTATGCCATCCACTTCCAAACAAAGCTACAATTTTACCGTTGACAACTCTAATGAAGAATTAGTGGAACCACTCGACAGTGAAACTAGAGTTACACAAAATATTTCAACCTCTTTACTTGAAAAGGCCAAATCCATACCACTCGAAGCTCAAAATAGGGTTACAGAAGTAATATCACAACATTTTTCAAACTCTGTGCTGGAAAAGGCCAAAACCTTAAGTTTTGGTAATTGCAATAATTGCACATTCAATATTAATATTCATAAGAGTTAAAAACCTATTTTTTTAAATATTTCTTCATTTGTTAGTCATTTTGTTCTCTAAGAATTATAAATTTGTAAAGTTCCAATAAATTTATTTTTGTTGCTGTGTACAATTTTTGGCACATTTTACTTTTTTTTACTAGTGCGTAAGGTAAAGTACTTTTTTCACTAGTGAAAAAAAGTAACTTTTATATTTCTAATATTAGTGGATTATGTGTACGGTAGTAGAAAAAATATTGTATGCCACTCGTGTGTAAAGTCCCTTTTTTGACTCATGTGATTCACATTCGTCAAAAAAGGGTAACTTTACACACTTGTTGCATAAATAACTATTTTACGTAGATTAAAAAAGTTTAAAAATTTGGTGCTTTCTTGGTGCGTCGTATGATTTCACTTTATATATGTTTAGGTACAGATAATTATTGATACTGACAGTTTTATTTTTAAATCATTAAAATAATATTTTGTTAATCCAAAAAAGGCAAACAAAAAATCCTTGCCACATACAGTGTAACAATAAAAATTAAATATATAAATATAGCATGTTATGTATTAAGGGACTAAAATAGTCCTAGGGGAGTAAAAACGACACTTTAGTATTCTAAACACTTAGAGGAATTCATTTTTTATAAAAATTAATTTTCCAACAAAGTAGGTTATTGTTAATTAACAAAATTTTTAGAATTGTTTAGAATACACCGTAATTTTTAAATTTAATTTTATTAACTATTTTATGTAACGTACTCGGTTTCGACGCCGTGCGCGCAACCTAAAAATGGCGCACGGAAGGCTACTTTGAGCGTTAAATTAAAATTGTAAATAATGGAGGTACAGTTCCGGGAGTCAAAACTTATTTATAGCAAATTTCCTCCTCTTTAAGGATCTTTTTTGAAAAATCCAAAAATATTTATAGTTTACAAACTATAGGCGAAAAACCAAACACCATGTTTTTGAGGTGTTTAATTGTTTATAACTTTTGCAATTTTTTATGCACTGTAAAATTATTCTTTACACATTTATCTACACATTATTCCGAATCGAATGAGCTATTGCACATAATTTTCGTAATAGTATGTCCCAAAAGCACGCTTTTGAACTTGTTGATTAGACTATAACTATCAATAAAATTTTTACTATTATTGTTAATATTATAATATATAAAAAAATTAATGACTAATTGTTAATATTATTAATTTATAGTTGGTTTGGTTGGTATTCCCAAAACATTTTGGGTATCAGGAAAACAAACACCATCAGAAAGTACCCAGTGGGTATGGTCATCCACAAATAAATCGATTTCTGGTTTCACAGACTGGGGTGAAGATGAGCCAAACAATGCAAGAGGTGACTGTTTAAGAATAGTGGTTGGAGGTAACTACATAAGTACGCATTCATGGACCGTTCAAATTTGTAATGAAGAAGCCATGTCTGTTTGTGAAACTATCCCTTACAATTAAAGGGAAAAATTATTTTCGAAGTACAATAGATTAAAATAAATAATTAAACCAAATATTTACTAGTTTTATTTTTGTGTTGGAGATTTTATTAAATTACCTACATGCAGATCACGATATGTTTTTTTGGGATGTAGCAGGGGACTCGACCTATTTATATTCTACAAATAGTTATAAATTGTAAATGATGATTGGTCTAAATATCAAAGGATTTGAATGTCATTTTGTCAATAATGTAAAACTCTATTAGAATATATTTAGAATTCCAGAATTATAAGGAATCAAAAACATAATAAACAGCATACATTTGCTGATATTTTTGTATTAATAATTAAAGGGAAAAATTATTTTCGAAGTACAATAGATTAAAATAAATAATTAAACCAAATATTTACTAGTTTTATTTTTGTGTTGGAGATTTTATTAAATTACCTACATGCAGATCACGATATGTTTTTACTTTCCTATCTGTATACAGATATAAGGAAAGTATAGGAATCATGATTTTTTTCGACCTCGAGTTTTCGACGGATTTTTACGTTTTGAGGTCCCCTGAATCCGTTTTGACTATTTTCGCGATGATGTCTGTGTGTGTGTGTGTGTGTGTGTCTGTGTGGACTTTTGAGGGCTTATGGGGACATTTTCCGAAAAACGCTTATGGTTGCGAGGACCGTTTTTCTTGTTGGGACATCAAACCGGTACCTATAAGAAATTAACCTGATTTTCATAATCTACGTCGTTTTTGGAGTCAAATGGTACCTATATCATTATTAAAATTTTTGGTCCCCATAACTAATGTGTCAAGTGGATGAGGTTCTTATAACACACCGGAAGGGGGCGCCCACATCTATACACTTTGTGTGTATATTTTAAAGATTGCATTGGTTGTGAGGACCAAGTATACACAATATATTTGAGGTTGATTATATTTTGACTTTACATCTAGAGACTATTGCTCTCAGTGCCTTCAACGTGATTTTAACACTTTCGAATTAAGATCTCTCTGTTCGCTTGATTAACAGAGTGTCTTTAAAAATTTTCGGATCTCCTAGCTTTTAACTATGGGTTAACAATATGACGCATCTCATTTCTCTTAAACCCTTCACCCATCAGTAAAGGTTTTTAAATTCATCAATTTGTGAGTTGGAAATAAATCTTCAATGACTATATATTTTTTAGATGTGTTCTAGAATAATAGTTACATTTTACAATTGAAATCAAACCCCCACATTGCTTAAAAATTTTTAGATACAATTGAAAAATTATTATTAAAAATGCCTGAAAAGGTCCATTTTTATTCTTTAATTAAATGTATTATTAGATGAATCATATACTTGAATTGATATGTAGATAATTTGTTAAATTAATTACATTGTAGATTTTTATTTTTATGAATATTTCTAGACAAATTAATATCTTAAATTTTATATTTTAAATCATAATGTTTCATAACATAAAAAGCCGTAAAATTAACATTCAATGAACTGGACAGAGAAAATAATAAAATTTAAAAATAGTAGTTTGTGCAACAAGAGTGGATATGATGGTCATATCGCACGAAGACGATATTTGAGCACAACGCTGTAGGCGGAGTGTTCAATCGTCTGAACGCAATGTGGACAATCCATTCGAGTTGTACAGTATATTTTTTATACAACTCACCAACAAAAATTTTTTTAAATTTAAAAAAATATATTTTAGTTTATTAAGACAAAGTAACTAATTTTAAAATAATTTATGATTTTTAATAATTTTTAAAATAAAATAAATAAAAAAGAAACAAGTTCATTTCATTTTTCCCTATCCGAGAATCAAATTCCAATCTTCCGTTTGGAAGGCAAAAACGTCAACCGCAGGACCACTTATTTTTTTATTTTTATTGCTTTAATACTCGTAATTAAATTGGCTTCATATAGTTTTTTAAATTAACAAATTCTTTATAATTATAGACGAAATAAAAAAAGAAATGGTTTTATTTATTGTTTCTACACAAGAATAACCCATTTAAATGTATGTTTAATCTCAATAACTAAAAAATATACTGACAATTAGTTTGACAGAATTGTCACTTATTTAAAATTTTAAAAGTAATAGCAGTCGGTTGATCAAAATATGAACGGTGATTGATGGATTTAGTTTTTTTGCAGTGTTCTCACTACCTAGAATAGATATGAAATACATTCCTTCAGTTGAAGGCAATAGCATACTTTTTCGTTTTGTAATCTGTGCGTAGATAAGCTAATATCTATGTGAGTGTAGAAAAAATACTTTTTACCACCGTCTATTCACTTAAGATGTCAAGTACGATTTTTGATATCGGGTAATTAAGTCGAATTCACAAAATATACCACATAAACCAATTAAAGAAAAATATTTCTGTAACTGAGAATGCAGGGTACATTTAAATTTTAATTTAAAATAAGAGTCGTTCAAATTAAACCGGTACTAGCGTTTTTCTGGCTTTTCCAAAAAACAGGGCCAAGAATTGCTTTATTCCGTATGTGGTATCCATATTGAGATGTAGCTGAAACGTTAATTTGTATTAAAGTCATTTTTTGTATTGTGCGGATGATTTCTGACAAGGAATCGAAATGTTAGTAAAATATTTTTCTATGCTCAGTTTTGGCTTTTCTTGCCATCAGTAATATAAAACAAATTTTATTTTACCCTTTCTAGGAAAATAAAAATACTATTAATATATTTTTAGTTTTATGAATTTGAACCAAGTTACATTGTAAATAAAGTTTTTTAATATTTAAATTTGGAACCATGTAAAATGCGAGGAGTACAATAGAATTCAACTAATGAACTTCCGAAATCAATCATATAAAGTTATAAATTTTAATTTTAACTAGCAAAGGTTTTCTCTTTGCTCATGAATTTAAAAATTGCTTCGCGTTCTTCACTACCTACTTTGTGGTCTGAGTTCTCTCTTACATTTTAAAACTAAACAAAGAAACCAGCAATTTTTTTTGACAATGTCATCCAGAGAGGCTAGAGTAACTTTAAAGTGTTTGTAGACTATTTTCAAAGTATTTCTTTTATTTACATGTTGTACTTGTACGATATCTATATTGTAAATTCATATTATTCACCTCTCTTTAGGTATATAAAAAAGGGTTACTGGAATGTAAAAACAGTTAGTATTATTATTAAAGATATTCTTGACATTTAAGTTGTAAAATTAAAATGTGTACAAATTTTCAGGATGATCCATTAAAATGTATACCTTTTGAATTATTTCCGGAAATAAGCCATTTAAAAATTCTACGACAAAACTGCCTCTGATAGAGCAAGGAGTGATCATAAAATTGCTATCTTAAAATAAATATTTTTTCAATTATAATTGGCTTTAGAAACCTTGGCCAGTTACAAAAATACAAATAAGTAGGCCTAATTGATTTGTATAGTTCCTTATAGAATAATCCTATTTTCAACTTAATTCTTCTGAAAATTAAAATGTTTCGTGTTTTTATTATCATTAGTAGCTCTAGGTTACAGAGTTTAAAACATCTAGAAAATTACAGGTAATATTTTATGATAATTAAAAACAACAGAACCAACGCCTAAACTTGTTGTTAAACCATTTTTCAAAAATACTGAATGGTTTTCTGTTCACCCGACGTCACAAAAATATGTTTTGGTATAAGAAATGCAATAAAATTAAATTAAAGAAATTAAATAATTAACACGTTCACAGACATTGGGTCCTATGATTGAACGTTTACGTTATCCGTAACGTACATGTTAGGCTCAGTTTTAACAGTAATTAGGCAAGTTCGTATGATGAAAAACGGTTTCCAACACATTACTGTTATTTTCCGCCTGTTATGTTCTAATTTAACAGTTTTCCATCATACAAACTTGCTTCGTTACTGTTAAAATTCGACCTAACATGTACGTTATGGATAACATAAACGTTCAATCATAGGACCCAATAGCTGAAAAAGGGGATTCAAAAAAGAAAATATCAAAAATAAAGCATATGGTGACCAAAAAGTAAACCGCTCCATCCATAGGCCACTTTTGTTTAAATTGTTATTTATGAAATATTAATTGAACTAAAGTACAAAACAAAGTTTGAAACAAAATATGTCAGAGTTTAACTTTTTGTAAAATTCTTCGAGGCAAAGCTCGACACACGGCTGGTTTTTTTTTTTACAAGTTTTACATAAGTATATCGTTTCTTTGCCAATTTTTTTTCTGTGCCTAGTCTGCACCTCACATGGTGGCTCTCGCTCCAAATTTTCTGGGTATTTTATCTGGAAAATTATCAAAATCAAATGCAACGCTTATAATGTGTGTTTTGCTAGGAGAGTACGTATAAAAACAATTCAACGTTGTCGGAATACGTCGCGCTGAGTCGTCAAAACTTTGTTATAAACAAATAAAATTGCTTAAAGCGTGTATAAAAAAAACAATATTACAACTATCAGGTACTTACTTTTGCTTATCAACTACTTTTTGTAGTATTTAAAACACTTATAACACTCTACAGATGTAGATAAACAGTAAATCACCTGTTGAACAGTACTTTTAGGATAGGCACACGAGAACTCATGCATGGACATTTCATGCAATTTTATGCTTTCTTCATGGACAGTAAACGTCCGTTGCAAACAAATTATACCCTGGCGCCAAACGCACATGGCGCGTGATATGCCGCTCTGTCCACTAACGTGTTAACTAACTGGTGGTATAACATGCAGGATATTCTATTTAAAAATTATAAAAACTTAACTTTGAGTTTTGTATTTGTAAAAATGAACTAAAATTAAGACATGTTTAAAGACACTCTATATAAAGAAACCTTGTCTCATTAAATGCCACGCCGTTTTTACTACCGCTTTCTACAAGCAAAACTGAAAGATGACTATTAGAATTCACAACTGTTATGATGTTTGAAGGTAGTATTGATTAACTAAAAAACATTTTGTCTATTATAGACCCATATTGTTTTTCTTTTTGTTACGCAAATTCTGCTGGTCCCAGTAAAAGCTTTTATATCCGATAAATATGTGAATATGTGTATATTTTTGCTGTCTTTTTTTACCTTCTTAATACGAATAAACATGTTGCTATTTTTATCTAGTATAATTTTCAT